ATGATGATGATGATGATGATGATGATGATGATGATGATGATGATGATAAGGGCCATGAGTGTTCAGGCCTTGACCATGCCCTTGGTCAAGGCTAGTGCGGACCCCCACCTTCGAGCATGGACCTCGACTTTGTGACCGACCTGCTCCTTGGGTCCCCGGACTACCGGCACTACGCCCGGCTATCTCAGGTACTCCCTGTCGGTTGTCCCTTTTTTGAGAAGGCCTTGGTCTACCAGATCTTGGCCTATTGCACTGAGGTCATCTTTGTGGTGGCCTCCTGCTTCAAGCTCCTTCTCCGGTTCACGACCTACCTGATCTGTTCTTCCAGCAGGGGACAAAGATCCTGGACATCAAAGAGACCATCCCAAGGTCCTTGCAAGCGCCTGGACACTCACCGGGGTCCCAAGTCCCCGGCCAAGGCACGGATCCTCCCTACTGCTGGAGGCCTTTCTTTGATCTTCATCGAGCACTACATGACCACGCTCAACCCAGATGCTGTGCCTTGGAGGCCCGAGGGTTCCGGACCTGCCACGAGGTTCGGGGGAGCCACCCAACTCCTGGCCCTACAAAACCCTTCTATGGCGAAGCCTAGTGGCCTTGGACCTACCTCTGAACATCTGGAACATCAACACCCTCAGCACAGAAAGAAATCCTATATTCGTGCACTCAAACGAGCTCACTTACACGGGCACACCTGGTATCGTGGGCAACTCCTCACGGCCGCTATGATGGGCATTGAAGACACTTCACAGCTCATGCCAACAAAAACTTCGAGCTCCTCTTTGGCACCCAACATTCATCCTCCTGCAAAGGTTCGGAAAAATCGACTCACAGGCTTCTGCTGGAACATTTGCTCTCTCAGCAACTATAAATTCGACATCCTTCGTCAATGGATGCTCTCCCAACACCTGGACATCATGATTCTGCAGGACACTCGATGGGGCTTCAGTGGTGACTGGTCAGATAACAACTACGCCTACATCCACAGTGGCTCCACTGGGAAAACCGGTGGCACTATGACCATCATCAAGAAAGGATTCTGCAACATTGACATGATCTCCTGGCGTGCTGTGGTTCCGGGACGACTTTTACATGTCCGCCTTTACCTTCCATCCTCGTCAATGCCTACCAGCATGCCTGGATCCAAAATGATCCCACCTGCCTTCAGCATCGACGTGAACTGCTGCATGCCTGCAACCAGCTTGTGGCTGGGTTGCCTCAGAGGAATGTGGTGATCCTTGGGGGAGATCTGAACACAAGCCTTCACCGGACTCCGCATTGTGTAGGCCTTAGCGACTTCCAGGATGACAAGGGGCGTCGCTCTGGGCCACGGCATCCGGACTCCAATCTCCTTGGAGACCTCCTTCTTCAGCATGGCCTCACAGCCATCAACACCTGGGACACCAAACTGGGCCCCACCTACACCGGAGGGCACTCCAACAAATCCAGGATTGACTTTGTCTTGGTCAGGCATAAATCCAGCGACTCCCTCACCAAGAAGCCAATCTACCTGGACGAGCTTCCTCCGAAATTTGGTCACTCCAAAGACCATGTTCCCATCCTCTTCACAGTACCATATAAATGGAGAGCTTGGGCCAAACCTGTTTCTGGTCTTCCACGTGGACAACAAGACCTTCTCCTTCGACACTGGGAACTTCAGAGTGAGGACTGGACTACCTTCTGCTCCTCATTGTCACACAACATTGGGATGCTCTGGGATCGTCCTCCGGACTTGGATGCTCTCAACAAAGTCCTCCTCGATGGCTGCAAAGACTTTGCTCCTCACTCCAGGGATCAACAGGATCGTCCTTCCAACTTCTGGACATGGGCAGATGGCCATCCTGGCCTCTCTCTTCCACCAGTTGCTACCAGGACCCACTTCACCAGCAGGCTTCAACAGCTCTTTGGGCTCTGGGCTAAAGCGGCCCATCTTCAACGATGGAAGCGGACCACCAACCAAAAAGCCAAAGCTGCCAAACAAGCCAAGCTCTCAGACACAATTGCAGAGGCTCGGCGGCACTGGGCAAACAATGCATCTCACAAGTACTTCAAGGTGGTCAACAAGCTTACACCCAAAGCCCGACCCCCTCGACCTCAACTTCGCCGCCCTGAAGGCCAACTTATGGCACCAGAAGAGGAACTTAGCTGGATCCAAGACTACATGGCTGACCTGTATGCTGGCAAGGATCTCACAGGCACTCACTTCCAGCTCGACGCCCTTCCCTTCGATGCCACAGACCTGACTCAAGAACTACAAGGTCTTTATGGGCGGACCAGCGTCCCTCAGCACGTTGCTCCCAGCTTCATTTGGAAGGCCCTGGCTCTCTCGATTGGGCCATTGGTCTACAACTGGCTGGAACAATGGATGGATCATGGCATCATTCCACATGAATGGCGGAAAGGCTGGGTGGTCCTGCTGCCCAAACCTAATAAACCTCCAACTGAACCCAAAGCACTTCGACCAATTGCTCTTCAGACTCCTCTTTCAAAGACAGTCATGTCTCTTTTTGTACATGAAGCCAGGAAGATCACACTCTCAGCATTGACATGGTTTCCTCAATTTGCCTACTTGCCGGGCAGGGGGACCTGGGAAGCAATCACCAGGGTACAAGCTCACTCTCGGGAGGTCTCTGAGCTTCATCGTCGTTGGAGATATGACGCCAGCCAAGTGAACGGTCAAGGGGAGAAGCGCCCCCCTCATGTTTGGAGGGTGCCAACTTTTCCTGGATCTCACAGGAGCCTTTGACGCAATGCCGAGGGAGCACCTAGCAGCAGCATTCTCTCTTCTTGGTCTCCCCAACGATTTGACATCCCTTTTGATGCAGTGGCACACAGAAACCTCCTACATCATTCAGTGGAAAGGAATGTCAGCCGAACAGGCTACCTACAGGGGAGTTCGGCAAGGCTGCAGGGGTGCCCCCTTTTTCTGGGCGAGTTTCATTGCCTTAATTCTGCAAATGGTAGCGACTGAAACCTCAGAGGACTGGATGCGGAAACACTGCACCTTCTATGCGGATGATGGTCATGCATGTTTTGTTTTCAGAACCTTTGAGGAACTTCAGAAGGGCCTTGGTTATTTTGGCAAACTCATCTCAGTACTTGAACGCATGGGCATGACGGTGAACATGAAGAAATCCGCAGTCATACTTCGCTGGGGCGGCAAACATCAGAGCTTAGCCAAAAAACATTTTGTGCAAAAGCAGCTGGATCGTTCGGTTTTGCTCATTCCAAAGGCAGAAGGTGGCTCACACGCCATACCAATCACTGAGAAGCACGAATATTTGGGAGTTCAAATGGGATATCACAACTTTCAAAGAGACACCATGAAAGCACGCCTTCAAGCTTGCAGAGTACGTTTCAAGCAGATGCAACGTTGGTTCACAAAGAATGGCATGCACTCGGCTCAGAAGGTGGCTTTGTGGCAGACATGCATTTTCTCAATAGGAGTCTATGGATTGGATGCAACAGGTGTGGATCATGCCTCAATCC